CACCGACACCGACACCGACACCGACACCGACACCGACATCGACGCCGACGCCGACGCCGACGCCGACGCCGATACAGATACCGATACCGATATCGATATCGCCACCGACACCAATGCCAACGTCGACATTGATACCGACAGTGTTGACGGCCTCATCGGCAATGACAACATCAATGATGATTTCAACGACGACATTAACGGCAACGATACCGGCAACAACGTCAACGGCTACATCAACGATTACGATGAATATATCAACACCGACGCAGATGTTAACTACAATCTCGACTACGACACCAATTTCGGCACAAAAAGAAGTAAACAGCAAACACTCATTAAATTCGTCGAGATTGGAGAATTTATCAGGTACTAAAAAAACATTTGCTAGGGTTACTGAAAAAATAAAACACAAAACTTTGAGTATCGATTCGAGTGAGCTGATGGCCAATATCATAAATTTTGTGATTACTGAGGACGAAGGAGACGTCGAAACTCTACGTCGAGCAATGTATTGTCAGATGCAGCGTGCAAAGTTGCGCGAACAAGGAATCCTTATGATGCAACACTTGCTTAAGAAAGATTATTTAATAACATCAGTGAAGTATTCGTTATTAAACGGTTGGCTTGGTTTGTCTCATGAAAATAAATCTTTAGCTGATGGAATAACGCATTGTCTTGAAAAAATTCAATCAGTAACTCCATATCAAAAGTCAAAGATTATTTTGGCTGAATCGGAGGTAACTTCTTGGGCGGTACAGGCTTTACGAACGCACGTTATTCAAGCAGAATTACCGAACAAGCCAAAGGTTAACGATAAAAGTAGTTTGAATCAAGGGACATATACTTGGTTACGGAAGTTGCCTAGAGCAAGGTTCTTACTGACAATATTGGGTATGTTAACTAATTATCAGCATGCGAATGAGATTGGTTTATTAATCAATTCTGGCTGCGTATCGAGTATTTTAACATTGCTTAGGCAAATAGGACCATCGACGTCTATAGATACGGATGTTGTTACGGATATGGACGTGGATGCAAAACCAAAGGATGCTCCAGTGATGGTCATATATGAGGACAGCCTAGAGAAAAGTAAACCACAGAGTGTTCAATTAACCGGTGTCGAATTGGCAGCTTTGATGAAAATTGGTACAAGGGTAGTACGCGGCGTTGATTGGAAATGGGGTGATCAAGATGGTCCTCCACCGGGCGAAGGACGAGTAATCGGGGAACTTGGCGAAGATGGATGGATTCGTGTGCAATGGGACAACGGCACTGCCAATTCGTATCGCATGGGCAAGGAAGGAAAGTATGATTTAAAGCTGGCTGAACCACCAACACCGCCCGAGACCGATAGCGACATTGATTCAGCGCCGCAGGATCTGGCTAAAGTCGATGTTGAAAATAATCTCATGGATGTCCATCCAACTACTTGTCTAAAATCTGCTTCTGTTACTGTGCTCCGCATTCTCCTACTTTGTTGTGGCATTGAGGCTGATAGAGTGATCCCATCCGCCATAAAGATACTCGCTTCTGTGTTACGTGGTATCATATCCTCTGCGTACAAGCCTGACTTTAACACACACTCGCAACTCGCGAAGGAGCATCATAAAACTTGGGCAACTCTCGGCTTATTAAGAGCGATTGCCAAGTCTACGGAACTTTGTAAATCTTTGAGCACGAAGCCGTGGATCGATTTTCTCTTGAACATAATAGCCGAACAAAGGAATCCAGATTTGGAGAAACAGATCATGGCAGTACGTTTACTCATCGCCGTTCTTCCCTCTTGGTCAGCCGACAGTCCTAGCCAGATACCACTTCTTGAAAAAATCTTTCGTATATTGGGGCACATTGCACTTAGTTGCGATTTGGGTATTATCTCTGAACTCTATTCGAATAAATGTCGCGTCTCATTGACCGCTTCTCACAGTTCCACTGTGGTTGAAGAACTTGTTTCGTTGATTAGATATCTACATTCTCTTTCAAAATGGAATGCGTCTTTGAATGTTTTCCTCACCTCAAAATTATCACTTGCCTCTGATTTATTAAGTGATGGCCCGTTATTTCATATACAATTAAATGAGAATGGTGGAGAAAACAGCGTAAACATACAAGATACGGTGATGGCGGCTCTTATCGTCATTGGAGGACTTGATGATAGGCCAAGGATTGGTGGTCTGGTTGACGTCGATGGGCAGGTCGGGACTATATGCAAATTTACCAAACACTCGAAGGTTATCGTACAGATACATAACGATCATAACATTGATACACGTAAGAAAGTTCCATTTTTTGGGGTGAGACGGCTTTCCGAGAAGTTTCGTTTAGATCGAATGCCACTGCCCGACTCTTTTATCTCCATTTGGGCAAATTTATTACTAGGCCATCGAGGAATGGACAAAAGACCGAACGGTATGCCGATAATAGCTGGCTTGGTAAACGCATCTATTCTACGGAATCAGCAGCAACAACTCGCTGCATTGAATGCTGGAAAGACTATGTTAGATTATCAAACGAAGTTACGAAAGATACTGAAATACGTGATTAACAGCACTAGCGGCGGCAACAACAACAATAATAATAATAACAATAACAACAATCATAATCACAATCACAATAATAACAACAATAACCATTATCACAATCATCACCACCGGCATTATCATCACTATTACCACAACGATGAACATATTGATGAGGAAAGCGTCTGTGAAGTTGATGACCAAAAATGGAACAAGGAGGTAGTTAAATGTGCTGTTACAGTTGACCATACTGACGGTGATAACGACGAGAATAATGATAACAACGATGACGATGAGGAGAATGACGAAGATGACCATGATAATCTCCGAGCTAGTGTAGTCGACAGTGCCAGAAATAATGGTAACAATAGTAGTAACAAGAATAAGAACAACAATAACAATGACAAGTTAGAAAATCGTGGTGGCGGTATTCGAAATCACGAATGTGTCGACGGTAACGTCATCAACATAGATATCGATAGTGAAGATAATTACGAGGATGGTACTAATAGCAACGCCGATGGTAGAGATAATTGTCGCAGCAGACGAACAACTTTATTCCAAGAGATGCTTGTACGAGCTACAAGACCGCAACCATTGAAACCTATATTCAAACGTAAGGAATTAGAAGAAGCTGCGCTAGCAGTTTCTCAATATTTAGCCTCTGAACTGAGACACTCTCCGATTCGAGGGACAACGACGATGATGACAGGAATAGCGTCAGTATCAGCCTCTGTGTCTGCGTCAGCATTAGTATCAGCATCAGCATCAGCATCAGCATCGGCATCGGCATCGGCATCGGCATCGGCATCGGCATCAGCATCAGCATCAGTATCGGCATCGGCATCAGCGTCAGCGTCGGGATCTGCGTCAGCAGCAGCTGTAGTAACAGCCGTAGGTCCATTCTCGGAACCTGATTCCCCAGCATCCGATTGTTCTTTAATATCATTAACATCTAGTCAGAGGAAACATTGCAAAAGCAGCGGAAGGAAAAGCCCTTCGCCAATGAGTCCCCTAGTCGCACAGTTAACGGAAATGGGTTTTCCAAAGAAAAGCGTGGAATTTGCGATCAAAAGTCTAAGCACGGCCGTTGGTTTTCTCACAGCAGAAAATGTCGTTGCTTGGCTTCTTGAAAATTCGGATGCTGCATTGAGTGACAGCGAAACATTATCGAGCGTTTATGGATTATCGGATCCCGAGGACTCGACGAGCGAAAATATTGATGAATCTCCGTCGACACACGATGCTGTTCCCTCTTCAATGATACCACCAAATTACATGAAACGTTCTGATTTTTTATCAGTTGATGAATACGCGATCTACGTGAGGGACAATCTAATACCGGGTATGCTTGTACGATGTTGTAAAAGTTACGAAGAAGTGGAATACGGGGATGTTGGTCAGGTGATAAAAATTGATTCCGAAGGTTTATATGATTTGAACGTTCAAGTCGCGTGGCAACGTAAAGGTGGTACATATTGGGTAAGATTCATTAACATTGAACTTCTTGGTCATCCGCCAACAATACCAGGACCAGCCACGCTGAAAATTGGCGACAAAGTTAGAGTGAAAGCGTCAGTGACCGTACCCAAGTATAAATGGGGCTTGGTAAACCATCAAAGTGTTGGAATGGTTAAAGCTATAATAAACAATGGGAAAGATGTGTCAGTCGATTTTCCGCAGCAAAGCGGTTGGACTGGCTGTGCGATGGAAATGGAACGAGTGCCTTCCTGTCACCATTCGGTCTCGTGTAATTCTTGTCACCTGTTACCGATATCCGGTCCTCGTTTCAAATGTAAGTATTGTGAGAGTTACAATCTTTGCGAAAATTGTTTTTACACGAAGCGGTGTCATCGGCACGGGTTCAATCGAATCGCGGAGCCTGGTTCGGCAGCTGTATACGCTGGCAAGCCGGGAAGGTATCACAGGCAAGATTACACGGAATCATCCTTGATCGATGACTGGTCAAAATGCATACGAACATTGAGCGTTTCTTCGCGAGAGAGATGGGCAACACGGCTGGTCGATGGATCTGGTCTTTATTGGCAAAGTTACGGTTATCAGGGAAAGCACTGGATTCGTCTAGAAATATTGCCAGGTATACTAGTGCATTCTCTAAAAATAATGGTGAATCCACAAGATAGTAGTTACATGCCATCGTTAATAGCGGTAAATGTTGGCGAATCGTTCAATGGTTTGGTAGAACTGGCAACGATTAGCGTACGACATACCGACACGTGTGTTCTTTTACTCCAAGATATGAAGGAATATTATCCATGTATCGAAATAGCGATAAAACAATGCCAAAACGGAGGGATAGATTGCAAAATACGAGGTCTCCAAATAATCGGCAAAAGAAAAGTATTCGAGAATCAACTAGCAACATCCATTTCGTTTCTAGCATCAGACTGGGAGATAGTTCAGGAACAAATGAACTCACAGCGCGGCTTAGAACCGCCACCACAGCATTCGGCCGTATACGTTTGGGGATTGAACGATAAAGATCAACTCGGTGGGCTAAAAGGATCAAAAATTAAACTACCAGTTTACAGTGAAGTTCTCTCGAAATTGAAACCTGTTCACATAGCCGGTGGCAGTAAAACTTTATTCGTGGTAAGTCAGGAAGGGAAACTGTACGCTTGTGGAGAAGGCACGAATGGTAGACTTGGACTCGGAGACGATAGCAATGTATGCGAGCCAAAGTCTATCCCGTTCTTGAATCAATACGTGATCAAAAAAGTGGCTGTACACTCGGGTGGAAAGCATGCGTTGGCTCTCACTCGGGATGGTAAGGTTTTCTCTTGGGGCGAAGGTGAAGACGGTAAACTGGGTCACGGGAATTCCGTCTCTTTGGATAAACCAAGATTGATCGAATCATTAAAGTCGAAGAGAGTACGAGACATAGCATGCGGATCCGGTCACTCAGCTGCCATAACCAGCAGCGGAGAATTGTACACATGGGGACTAGGCGAGTACGGAAGATTGGGCCACGGCAACACTGCGTCGCAATCAAAACCAAAATTGGTGCAATCTCTAGTTGGTCAGCGTGTGATACAGGTTGCATGCGGTAGTAGGGATGCACAAACAATGGCACTGACAGCTGACGGATCGGTTTACTCTTGGGGTGATGGAGATTTTGGTAAACTCGGCCGAGGAGGTAGCGACGGTTGTTATACACCCCTCCTAGTCGATCGATTAAACGGTTTAGGAGTTGTACAGATCGAATGCGGTGCTCAGTTTTCCCTTGCATTAACTAAATACGGTGAAGTATGGACCTGGGGTAAAGGTGATTATTTTCGGCTTGGTCACGGTAACGATCATCACGTTCGAAAGCCAATGCTGGTGGAAGGACTTCGTGGTAAAAAGGTGATACATGTAGCTGTTGGTGCTCTTCATTGCTTGGCGGTAACAGATACCGGACAAGTATACGCATGGGGTGATAATGACCATGGTCAACAGGGAAACAGTACAACAATCGTTAACAAAAAACCATCCTTGGTACATGAACTTGACGATATGAGAGTAAATCGGGTGTCGTGCGGTTCTAGTCACAGTATCGCTTGGGTCTTAACCGATCAACCGGCAACCAACAATCAAGAACCTGTTACATTTCCAACTGCGAAAGATCCACTCGGTCAAACGTCACTTAGATTCAAAAGTAGCACCATCAGCAGCACGGAAAAAGATTTGAGCATCTACCCGACTTCCTCTTATTCGAAAACATCTACCATGCTACCTGCAAACAGTAGCGACACTGTTAGTACAGGTGACACAATTATTAGCAATTCCATCCCTTCCTCTGGTAACAGACCTTCCCTTTCGAGTATTATTCTATCTTTGGACTGTAACGTAGCGAAGCAACAAGCATTGCAGCATGTAATAAATGCCCTTCGTATAATACAAGCTCGAATCATTGTTGTTACGGCATTACAAAGTCACTCGATGTTAAAGGCGGTTGGCAATGGTGGTGTCGGTGTCCGCGTCGGTATTGGCAATGGTAATAGCTTTTTGATGACAGAAACGATAGTGCCGGACGGAACAGTTGCCGGATCAAGTGCCACTGGAGGAGGGCATACTCATGTTTATCAGAATGTGGGAGATAGCGCACAGGGTGGTGGAGAAGCACCAGCGAATGCGGCAGAACTCGTTAATCTAGTGAACAATAGTCCACGGACAAGTCCTGAATCTGAGGATTATCCATTAACCACAGTTTTTCCTTCGATGTCCAGTTCAGCTAGTTTGTCCTCACGCGCTTCAAAAATGTCGAGCAGCGCAATGAGCGTGATCGCGGCGACTCTCACCTCTAATGCGCAAATAGTCGGCGAAGGAATCTCCGCAGATCCGATCTTGGACGATTTTACATGCACGTTAACTGAGGATGATGCCAGAATGCTGGTTGATCTATTGAAATTAGCCGTTGCCAATCGAATATGCAAAGGAGCCAAAGAAACGATATCTTCAATATTGATTGCGTTAGCAAAAATAAATCGTTCGATCCGTAGCATGATATTGGAGCTTTGTATCACAGAATTGGAAGACACAGTTGCGAATTCAAGCAACAGAAATAATGTGCCGCAGCCTGTTGTACAAGAAAGTCCACATCCGTACATTGACGGTACCACGTTGACCGGTAACGTGAAGATTCCCGGTGCAGAAGCTCTTAGAGTTGAATTTGATCGGCGTTGTTCCACCGAGAGACGTCATGATCCTCTTACCATTATGGATGGTAATAATCGAGTACTAGCTGTGAAGTCAGGTAGAGAATGGAGCGAATGGGCTGGCGAGATTCGAATTTCGGGCGACGAGCTTAGATGGAGATTTTCTTCGGATGGATCGGTGAATGGTTGGGGATGGCGATTTACCGTGTATCCTGTACTTGCAAGTCTTGCACCACATGAACTAGTTTCAGATAGAGCAGTCCTATCCCAACCGGCTATTGCGCTTGCTGAATCTCTTCTGGACAATATTCTGATCACCTTAGACAGAAGTGTCGCGACACGATTAGCCGCTACCTTGGCTCAATGCAGTCAGCTGAGCGTGTTATCTGCTCAGCAACGAATGTGGGCATTGAAGAAATTGCAAGTCGTCTACACCAGCGGTCCAGGTATACGCCCAGAAGTCGCACTCTCTTCGCTTCTCGGCTCATTACCTCAAGCGTTACTCAAACAGTATACTTATGAAGATCCTTTAGTTCGCGGTGGGAAACAATTGATGCATAGTGACTTCTTCAAAGTACTTGTCGCGCTTGCATGTGACCTCGAATTGGATGGAATGCAATGCTGCTCGGAAATTCATAAATGGTCTTGGTTTCGAAGGTACTGTCTTTCTGCTCGGGTTGCTAAGTCTCTTGTAAATCGAACCCAGCTGCCAAAGCCGTTTTGTCTCGAAGTTACTAAACGGATTAACGAGATGATTACGGATGAAGAGGGAAACACAAAGGATCATGAAAATCACGGGTTATTCAAGCAGGAGCATGACGAACAATTATTACAATGGTTGAACCGTAGGCCAGAAGATTGGACGTTATCGTGGGACGGTTCTGGCGCAATTTATGGTTGGGGTCACAATCATCGCGGCCAATTGGGTGGACTCGAAGGAGCAAAGGTGAAATTACCTGTTCTCTGTGAGAGTTTATCCGCTCTTCGACCTGTTCAACTTACTGGTGGAGAGCAAACTTTATTCGCGGTCACTGCCGATGGAAAAGTCTATGCAACCGGTAAGACATTTAACCAGCCAATCCCCTTCTTTTTTCCATCTTTTTTTCTCTTTCATACTTTCTATTTCATTCGGTGATTTTGTTTGATGTTATGTATAGGTTATGGCGCCGTTGGGCGTTTAGGAATCGGAGGAACGGATTCCGTTATGGTACCGACTCTATTGGAATCAATTCAGCATGTGTTTGTTAAGAAAGTAGCTGTTAATTCAGGAGGTAAACACTGTCTTGCTCTAAGTTCAGAAGGACATGTCTACTCTTGGGGAGAAGGTGATGATGGAAAATTAGGACATGGAAATAGATTGTCGTACGATCGACCGAAATTGATCGAAGAGTTGTTGGGTACAGAGATTGCTGACATAGCTTGCGGTGGTCATCATAGTGCAGCGATTACAAGTGCCGGTTGGCTTTATACTTGGGGAAAAGGTAAAGAAAGTCCAAAAAAATACAGCAATGGAGCAAGAAGAAGAAAAAAAATAAAAAAAAAAAAAAAAAAAAAAAAAAAAAAAGGGGAAAAAAAAAAAAAAAAAAAAAAAAAAAAAAAAAAAAAAAAAAAACAAAAGCTAAAACGCATTCTAAATCGATCGATTTTAGGTCGATATGGAAGACTAGGTCATAGCGATAGCGAAGATCAATTGATGCCCAAATTAGTCGAAGCTTTACAAGATTACAAGGTTATTGACGTAGCGTGTGGAAGCGGTGATGCGCAAACCCTTTGCGTTACCGATGATGATAATGTTTGGAGTTGGGGTGATGGAGATTACGGAAAATTAGGCAGGGGAGGTAGCGATGGCTGTAAAATTCCGATGAAGATCGAATCTCTCGCAGGTCTTGGTGTCATTAAAGTTGAATGTGGCAGTCAGTTTTCCGTAGCTTTAACAAGATCAGGAGCAATATATACATGGTGAGAATTCAAATGATCTCTGACCGTTCAATGATGTCAATTGTCAACATATTCAATATTTTTTCTACTTCCCTTTTCCCCCTTTTCTTCCTCCTCTCTTTTTTCACTTTTGCTTCACATATTTGACATTATTTTAAAACAATTAAACAGTCGAAAATTATGTTTTATGCATAAACAGGGGTAAAGGAGATTACCATCGTCTCGGTCATGGTACAGATGATCATGTGCGAAGACCGCGTAAGGTAGCAGCTCTTCAGGGAAAGAAAATCATTTCTATAGCGACAGGTTCGTTGCATTGTGTAGCTTGCACTGATAAGGGAGAAGTTTTTACTTGGGGAGACAATGATGAAGGCCAGTTAGGTGATGGAACAACAAACGCACTTCAGAGACCAAGATTGGTTCAGGCGTTACAGGGTAAAAAGATAACACGCGTTGCTTGTGGTAGCGCTCATACTTTAGCATGGAGTACCATGAAAGCTACTCAAAGTAGAATGCCTGCTACTACACCAATGGAGTATGATTTGGTAAAGGATCTTCCCTTTCCTGTGTTACATAACCGACTTGTACTTCTTCATCATTTTGCCGAATTACTTTGTCCATGTTTGCCAATGTTTCCAATCAGCGGTTCCGTCAGCTTAAGTAAATTGGCACCTATGTTAGTATACAGCATCAAAGAAGCAACATTTCGTAAAGTAGTTCAAGCAACGATGGTCAGAGATCGGCAACACGGTCCAGTAATAGAGTTGAATCGAATACAAGTAAAACGAGCTAGAAGCAAGGGTGGATTGGCTGGACCAGATGGAATTAAATCTGTTTTCGGTCAAATGGTTTCGAAGATGTCTTTGTTAACACAAGATGTTCTCTTCTTTCCTCATAGGGTCTGGAAAGTAAAATTTATCGGTGGGTTAAATAAAATTTTTGATATTCAGTACAAACTAAAAAAAAAAAAAAAAAAAAAAAAAAAAAAAAAAAAAAAG